CATCCCACGAGGAAGTCCTGGTGGGCAGGAAGAAGTGATAAGGGAACTTCAGCTGTCAGCTTACTTCAGGAAACATCTTTCAGAGTCTGTTTCCCAAGGAAGTCAATTTGGCCTGGTATTTGTATCACCCAAGACAAAGAAAACAGTCCCCCAGGAGCTGCCCGGCTGGCACGAACGAGGGGTCCAGTAAACACGGGCTGATGCCGAAAAGGCAGAGCAAAGCAGCTCCTCAGATGATTCCGTTTGTTTGTTCAAAAAAAGGAAGAGGCAGGTATTCTCATCAACCCTCTTTCAGTTTTCCAGCTAAGCACTTGCGGAGGATGCCACAGCTGGCTGCCCAACCCAAGAGCCAGGAACAGCAAATCTCTCAAATGGGTCACAAAGAATGCGTGATCAAACCCAACTTCAAGGCTGCCCGTCCTTCTTGCACTGCAGCTGACATTAATTCAGGAGCTAGAAAAAGCCACAATCACATGCTATCACTTTTAACTAAGTTTTCCCACTTTAAAAGAAAATCTTTACTAAGTGTCAAAATTAAAATTCCACTATTTTGTCTAGGAGGCCCCCAAAATGCAATTGTTTTCATTATATAAAAAAAATCCTTATCAAAGAAAACTTGGGGGAAAAAAAACCCCCAAAAGAATCAGTCAGAAAAACAAGAGAAAAGTAGAAAACAATCAGCCATAAGACCTGGTGGTCCAGTGGTTAGGACTCCGCGCTTCCACTGCAGGGGGCACAGGTTCGATCCCTGTTCAGGGAACTAAGATCCCACGTGCTGCACAGCACAGCCAAAGTAAATAAATAATAATTTTTTTTTTTAAATCAGCCATAAGACCTGCTACTCAAAGACAGCACCTATCAACATTTTGGTTCACTATCTTCCAGATGTTTTTCCTCTAAGGAAAAGATGTTTTGTGTAATTGGAATCCTATGGTGTATGACTGTGTTACTTAAATGACTCCACAAGCATTTCCCCATGTTTTTCTTCTTCATAACCTCATATAACTACATAGAGTAGATGAGAGAAAGAAGATGTTTAAAAAGTAAACCAAGTCAAGAAATGCCATTCTCGTTCTTCCACAGAAACTCCTGTTTTTACTGTAGTAAAAACCAAGAATTTCCAAAAGTTTCTGGGGTCACTGGAGATAAGATACATAAAAAAATGCTTGGATGCATAGGAAGTGTTTAAGAAATGTCAACTGACTTTCAAGTGACAAAGGCAATATTTACTATAGTCCCTGGAAAGATACAAAAGAAATTAAATTCAGCCTCTGTTCCCAATGGATTTTTAGTAACACTGAGAAGATAAAATGCATTTACACCCAACAACTAAAGTGCAGCATAATTCGGCATGCAATAACCCTGGCTCTTCAAGGGCTTGGGATGCCTTGTCCCTTTCTGCACCCCTAGCATGAAGGACATATTACAGATACTCAGTAAATGTCTGTTGTACTGAACAGAGCTACAAACTACAAGCTACGCTTCAGAGACAGTAAAGATCACTGTGAGCTGAGGTTAAGCTGGGCAAAGCAGACAACGTGAACATGGCAGAACTTGATTTGAGCAATATTTTGCAGAAAGAAAGCTGAACCATAGAAGCCTTGGGATGCTGTGAAAATGAAAGACGGCATAAGAAAAAAATGTTTGTATAGTCCTAATCTATTAACGAGTTAGATGTTTCTACACGAACAGCTTTGAAACCTCAGCTGTACATAGTAACTACTCATGGGAAAAATAATATATATATAATACATAGTAGATATTACTTAAAAACAAAGAAAACACACCAACACAAAGTACTACAGCATTCCTAGACATCAGAAACAAGGGCTAATTCTCAGGAAGCTTTGTGTGTGTCATGACATGTGGGAAAAGGCAGAAGATTAAGGCCTTAGATCTCCACATATAGAACCACAGTGGATACTGTCCTTACTAAACTAGGTGTAAAAGAATGTGCTTACCAAAACTTTCTTTCAGGAACCCTTTCGACTCCACTGAAGCTATCTGCATGTACTGTGAGCATCCAGGGGGTAAACACAGGAGATGTGAAATCGGCTTCAGCCCTAACAGCATCACATTCACCACCTGATTATACACTTGTCTTAAAGAGAATCCAGTGTCATGACTAGGGTATCACTTAGCAGACTCCATACATCCTGACTTCATCCACACACAAATTTTCCTTTGTTTTACTCCACTTGTGCTTGTGAAAAAATGCAAAGAATTTATGGAGAAGGAATTTGCTAAGATTACATCGCTAACAGCTGCTGGCTGGATTGTACTAAATCGACAGCCTCTTCGGTCACATTATATGGCCATCTCAGAAAGTGGGCTATTAATACAAACCTGGTTTCTTTCAAAAGAATTGATTGAAGCCTACCCCGCCAGGCTGCCTTAAGAGCAAGTTTCCCAGAGCTTGGGGTTGGGTGTGTGAACATTCTGTCTGTATGTACCGCTGCAATTACTTGTGATTAAGAATCTCTAATAGCTGCCCATTCAGTCTCCTCAGCCTGAAGCACTCAGAACAAATGCCTTCAACAGGCCCTTCAGGAATGAACAGCTGATCTGTAGCAGTGCATGCTTCAGGGCAGGTGGTCCTTGTTTTTCTGAACACACACATGCACATGCATGTCTGATAACGCTTATATCAGTCAGATATAATTAATTCAAAAGACTGAAAACAACACAAAATAGGTCATTTAAAAATGTTTCAGAGGTCCAAACATATGCAAATGGAAAATTTACAATTTTTTTCAAAAATTTCCTGGAAATTATGATTTTCAGATTTTGCTAAACTTTCACACACAAATTGTCTTACCCCAAGAATACACAAACTGTAACTGTTTTAACTCTAAATGAAGCACTTCTCTAGGACATCAAAAGATTTGGAAACCCGACAATAATTACCACATAATCATTCAAAAAAGACATGTGGTATATAACATTTGCAAAGATGAATTGCACCTGTCACCAATTCAACAAAAGAATACTTTATCTACAAACCACGCAGCGTTGAACATTTAAAAATCTGGTTAAAATGATCCATAACAAGAACTCCATGTCAAACAGAATAGTACAAGTAACCAAAAAAATGGATTAACACAAATGGTTGATTTCCACATCTGAAACACATGGGATGTCACCCTGAGCAAGTTACTGAATCTCTCCGTACTTGTTTCTTAGTCCACAAAATGGGCAAGATGATACTAACAACCTTTTAGAGTTATCAATATTAAATTAATACATATTAAATTTTTATAACAGAGGCTGGCAAAGGGTAGCTAATAAAGAATGTTTGTATTATATCAGGAACCAGATTTTTTTTTAAATGCGAACACGCATAAATAATAGCAATTGAAAAGTGTAATCATGAAAATAAAAGAGACACAGCTGTGATGCCCTGTGACCGAATACAGTTTTCAAGATATTACTGTATATTTAGAGCATAAGCAAATAACAGAAAAGAGCTCCCTACTAAAAATGATAGCTACATCCCTTCAAAGTGTATTAATACATCCTACCACCTCTATTCTTTGTCATTAGTGCTATTTTGCAAAACTGTGATTATTCCTCCTGTGTTCTACAGGTGAATACCAGTCCTTAGCGTTAAGAAAGGCACACAAGTAGCCCCTCCGGGATACCAAAATAAGAAGTTAATGGGGACTTTCCTGGCGGTCCAGTGGTTAAAAAAAAATTAAATTAAAAAGAATTTTTTTTAAAATAAGTTAAGGGGATGTGAAGGCCTTTAGCATCCACTAGTTTTACTAACAAACCACCAACTTGAAACTCATTCCTGAACTAAACTGCCAAATGTTTCTGCGATAAAAACTGCAAACTCTCATGTGAACAGATCTTCTCAATAGGGAGTTGTTCCAGTCTGTGAATAGGACACTGTCAGTGTGACCAACAAAGCCGGGAGGGGACATTCCTGACACCCCTGTCCCCTGGCTAGCCTTTGATCATTCATCTCTCCCAACCACACGTTTGTGGAAACCACTTTCAAGCACAGCATAGGGACAACATCTACTCCCTGAACTTCGCCCTCATCACAGAGCCCTGCTCCCCGGCTTCTGCCCGGACCCTCACTGTTCACGTCACCCCCGAGGACCACCCCACAATGAGCCTCCAACACAGGAGCCTTTGTTTTCCTAGTACGCCGCCCACCCCACCCCCAAACAGTCACTTGGGGCTTCGCTGTGTACACTCTGGCAAACATCACGGGATGACGATGGCAACTAAGCAGACCACAGACCGACCCGAGAACGGGGGAGAACTGCTGATGCCCCAGGCGAGGCTGGCGCGGCGCTCGGGACCCCGGGTCTGAGTGTCCCTTGCTCCTGGGGGCAGACTTCGGGCTCAGTGCTCTCTCTGGACTCTGCTCTGAGGACTACGTGGGACCGCGGTCTCGAGCGCCTAGCGCGCGCCCACGGCCCCCAGCGTGTGGTCTCGCCGTCCGGCTGCCCGGGGCCTCCAGCCGGGGGTTGGGGGGGTTGGGGGTGGGCTGGGGGGAGGAAGGACAGACCAACGCCCCGTCCGAGCCGCCCCCGGGCCACTCCAGGGCGGGCTGCAGGGCTGGGCGCCGGCGGGACAAAGGGGACCGGGAACGGGTCGGCTTTGTTCGAGGAGTGATGGAGCGCAGGGCCACGGGCCCCGGGCCGGACCCCGCACCCCGGGACGCTCTGCACCCAGACCCCCAGACCGCCAGGATTCCCTACCTCTGGGACCCCCGACGCCCACACCTCTTCCCCGGCCCGCACCCCCTACCCCGACCCGGGGCCCGCACCTCTGGGGCCCCCGCACCTTCGGGGCCGCTCCCCGCCCCTCCCGGACCCCGGGACCCCCACATCCCTGACCCCGTACATGGACCGGACCGCCGCATCCCCGGGATTCCCCTCCCTGAACCCAGGACCCCCCGCACCGCCCACTCCCGAACCCCCGCGCCCGCCCCCCACTCCGCCCGGACCCGTCCGGCCGCGCCCGGCGGAGGCCCGCGTACTCACCCCGCAGGAGCAGCAGCAGGGCGAGCGCGGGCCGCCGCCTCAGCGCCATGTCGAGAGCAGCTGAGGGGCCGAGGGCCCGCTCCCGGCGCAGGCGCCCTGCCCGCGGCCCTGCGCCCGCCCCGGTCACCATAGCGACCACGGCGGCGCGCCGTCGCCATGGTGCACGGGAAGCCCAAGACGAGTCTGGTTGCTATGGAGGCAGGGATGCTCTGGACCGGGATACCGGGGTCTCTTTCAAAGAATTTGGTGGAAGGAGGTGAAGGAGCGCGTTCAAGAGTGGGCGGGGTTAATTTCCACATCTATAAAATGAATCCGTCACTACAGATCCGGGAAGGAACGCTCCATTAAAATTTGAGAAATGAAGTGCTTCTTATTTTACAAATAAGGATGGAGCCCAGTTACTGTGGAAGCATTATTGCCTGCGCCTCTTTTGGGGCCCAGACTGTAAATGTGATGAGAGGGGAAAGCGCTGAAATCTGTATAAAACATAAGCAAGATGTGCATTATACAGTACATAAAAATGATGTATTTCTAAAATAAACATAATCCTTCGTTTCTGTGTTAGATTAAAAGCATGATGGTATACCAAATAGTTTGTTATGCAGAAAAGCAAGATAATTCTTTGCTCTGATTTCTGAATATTGGGAAATGTTAAGGTTAGGGAGGAAAAATGGAACAGAATCTTTTGAGGACCAACACACAAAATGAGGAGGATTAAACATACTGGAAATTGGACTCAAGGATGCAGGAGATCTTGATACATTTAATACTGTGGGAAATTCTTTTATTATTTATTTATTTGGCTGCGTGGGGTCTTAGTAACAGCACACAGGATCTTTGTTGCTGCGTATGGGATCTTTAGTTGCGGCATGTGGGATCTAGTTCCCTGACCAGGGATCGAACCCGGGCCCCCTGCATTGGGAGCTCTGAGTCTTAACCACTGGACCACCAGGGAAGTCCCACTGTGGGAAATTCTTGAAATAGCTTGTTTTACATCCAACGTAGAAAGTACATCCCTAATGCTCCAGGAAGCAACAGAGTCAAATCAGAATTCTCAGTATAGTTATTAGTAAAATATGACAGAGTTTCTTTCCAATGACTAATATTTTTTAATGTTTAACTTAGGGACTTCATTTTTCATACAGTCACCCTAGGTTTTTTTTGTTTGTTTGTGGTACGCGGGCCTCTCACTGTTGTGGCCTCTCCCGTTGCGGAGCACAGGCTCTGGACGTGCAGGCTCAGCGGCCATGGCTCATGGGCCCAGCTGCTCTGCGGCATGTGGGGTCTTCCCAGACCAGGGCACGAACCCGTGTCCCCTGCATCGGTTTTACAAAAGTAGAATTTTGTAAGTGTGTATATATGTATATATATACAGGGACTTCCCTGGTGGCACAGTGATTAAGAATCCGCCTGCCAGTGCAGGGGACACGGGTTCAAGTCCTGGCCCGGGAAGATCCCACATGCCGCGGAGCAACTAAGCCTGTGCGCCACAACTACTGAGCCCGCACTCTAGAGCCCGTGCTCTGCAACAAGAAAAGCCACTGCAATGAGAAGCCCGCGCGCTGCAATGAAGAGTAGCCCTCGCTGGACACAGCTAGAGAAAGCCCACACACAGAAATGAAGACCCAATGCAGCCAAAAATTAATTAATTAATTAAAAAAATAAGTATGTATACACATATATAACTTACTATACTAAATTATGAATGCCAAGAAACATGAAATAGATTGACGTTGTTGACAAGGATATGCTTCAACTGTCATCACTATATGATCTTCTTTATGTCTTTGTAACTGCTCACACTTTTGTAAGTGTGAATTAATTACATTCCTCCAAATCTCATAAAGACAGAATAAAAATACTGAAATAACTCCATCACCTATTGTGTTTCTATTGTCTTCCTTTACTAAACCTTCTTTCTGCTCTAGTTTACCATGTTCCCAAGTCACAAGTAAAAATTATTTTATGGTGACGGTCTGTCCCATCACTAAACACAATAGAGAAATTAAAAACAGTAGAATTCTACTTAGGCTCATTGACTTTCCTTCTGCTCTCTCTGTGCTCTGCCATTCCCTTTAGCTCCCTTTATATGCTCCCTTTATATTCCCTTTATATGCTCAGGCATGTTTGCCATTGTGGTGACCTGGGAAATATGAGGTGGTGTCTGATTGTGGAAAGAGCAGTTTTCAGTATCAGTGTCTCTTTTCTCCCGCTGAATTTCCTGTGTTTGCGTTGTGAAATTGTTCTGTCTGTTAAATGGTCTTTTCCGCGAGGGAATCTTTTGAAACTCAGAACGAGATCACAGAGAAAGGCTCCATGAATATTCTATATGGAGCAGAGGTTCCTATGAGAGTGAATGCAGGTGCTTCGTTGTAAAACACTGATTTTCCTCCACAGATGGAGTACACATGTCATGACTAGTGGCTGAGACAGGATCCTGGAATGGAGCCTAACTAGTGACACGGTAGGAGGCACTTGACTGTCAAGTGATCTGCTCCTCCTTATGATTTCACTGTTCTCTGGAGAGCTCTGGCCCTGTGCAGAAAGGCAGCAGAGCCCTGGACGCATTCAGTGAGCAAGGCTGTGGAGTCTGTGCTTCTATCACCACATTATCCAACTAACTACGCTTGTTTCTAATGATGGCTTACTAAGGAGAGATACATGTCTTAAAAGAGCTCAGGGAACTAAATACATTTGTGCTAAACTTGAACAAAAGCATTTGCAATGCTTTTCAAACCAACACAAAGCGCAAATCAAGTAGCAAATGGGGAGTTGAATTTTCCTTCGAGACTTGAAATCAAGCAGGATCCTGTGGGGTACCCCTAGGTACAAAAGCCTTTCCGTGTCCCCCGTTTCTTATTTGTAGTGTTGACTGAAAAAAAATGCACAACCTAAAAGTTGACAATTGGGTTTCATTTGGTGGACTTGCTGAGGACTTAAGCCTGGGTGGCAGCCTCTCCGATAGCTCTGGGGCACTGCTCCAAAGAGGTGAGGGAAGAGCCAGGATATATAGGAATTTTTGCAACAAAAACCACATGGGCGGAACAGCAAGAGATTACTGTTAATTAAAGAAAAACCAGACATCTCAAATTAATGAATTAAGTGCTTTTCTACATATAGGAAGATGCAAGAGTCTGGACTTATTGAAATCATTCCTTTGATATGCTCCTTAACTATCTAGGGCCAGTATCCTGTTTTTCTCCCTCCTGAGTCCCTTCAGGGTATACAGTTGGGGGAGGCTGCAGTGGCTGAGGCCTTGATGGCCGAAACATCCTTTGTTTACTGATATGGCGGCCGACACTCTTCGTCTACAGCAGGGAAAAGGCTTCAGCCTCCTAGACCTTCCCTGTGTTCCAAAGGACAGATGCAAATGGTTACTAATTAGAGAAGCGGGGGCTGCAGAGACAAGGGAGGAGCAGCTGAGAAACCATAGTGCTTCCAAAAAGAGGGGTCCTGTTTCCTCCTTAAGGGATTTACATAACAATATGTCTTTGAGTTCTTCAGCAGGAACCAGGGCCCCCACCAGGTGGAGGATGGTAATTTCAGGCTGAGCACAAGATTCCTGGGGCACTGCCCTGTTACGTCCCCACCAACCAAACAGAAGGAAGTCACACACCTTGAAGCCCTCACCCCCAATTTGGCCTTTAAAAACTGTTCCCCAAAAACCACCTGGGAGTATGGGGGTTTTGAGCACGAGCCACCCATTCTCCTTGCGTGGCCCTGCAATGAACCTTTCTCTGCTCCAGACTTCAATGTTTCGGTTTGTTTGGCCTCACTGTGCGTCGAGCACACGAACTTGGGTTCAAAAAAAACTCACCTCCAAACAGACTGGAGAGATGCTGGAAGCAACATGGGGGGACATGGGCTCTGGAGTCTGAAGGACAATGATTCCAATTCTTGGTTTTTGTAAACTTGGGAAAGTTGCTTAACTTCTCTAAGCCTTGGATTCCTTGTCTGTAAAATAGGGATAAAAATACCCACCTCAAATGGTCATTTTGAAGATCATGTGAGATAAAGACTTGGAGCATACCAGGTGCTCAATACATGTTTGTTGCCTGGACCCCTTCCCTTTCCTACTATTTTGGTTCAGATTGGGCAAAATGGTATAACAGTCCTGGAAAGTCTTGATAAAGAAAAGAAACTTAAGTCTGCAGATGGGTCAGAAGGAATGAGAAGCAGAGAGGGAGATTTACATCAAAGTGTGTTTATTCTTTTCGTTTTGATGCTGAATTCAGCCTCTGCACCCCAACACTGAATTAAATCTGAGACAGAGCTTTGGGTGAAGTAGAAACGCATAGCTTTATTGCCTTGCCAGGCAAAGGGGGCCACAGTGCGCTAATGCCCTCAAAACTGTGTGTCCCAACCTGGAGCGGGTAGTGAGGAGTTTTATAGTGATGGTTCAGAGAGGGCGTGATCAGCTGGTGGACATTCTTCTGCAATCAGAAGAATTGGTGGTGAGGTAATCAGGGGTCAACGTCATCAACCTGGCTCCAACTGGTCTGGGGTCTACGTGCTTGTGGGCAGCATACAGTTAACTTCTCCCACCTGGTGGGAGTTTCAGTATCTGCAAAACAGCTCAAAGACATTGTTGTGTGCATCCCCTGAGGGGGCACCAGGACCCTGCCTCAAGGCTGCACTATTGTCTCCTGACTGCTCCTCCCTTGTCTCTGCATCCCCTCCCTTCCCTGATTAGCATCTGTTTGAACCTGCCCTTTGGAACTCTGGGAAGGTCTTGGAGGCTGAATGAAGCCTATTTCCTGCAAACAAGAAATGGGGAACACAGAAGGACTTTTGTGCCCTGAAGCCCCACAGGGTCCTGCTCAGTTTCAGTGTGACTAAGTTCTGAAAAAGTAACAGGACTGTGCTTCTGCTCCTTTGTTGTGCATCCTACACCAGAGCAACGACCTGAAGTCAGCCTCCGGGAAGGAGAGAGCAGGATCCACTGACAGGGAAGTCACTGACCCCAGAGCCTCCCAGTAAGCACGCCCGCTGGGTTGATCCAAGGTTCTGTGGCTCCAGGTTCCCTCTCGTCAGGTCCCAACTTCTTGCAGTATTTCCAACTCTGTTCTCAC